GGCTATAATTACATACATTCTCCATTTTGAAATTATTTATCAAATCTTCAGATACAAACTTTTTCTGATGATCTAAATGACCTAGACATCTTTTTAGATTTCATAAGATAACATTTTCAATAAATTTTGAGCATTTTCTTAATTTTGCCAATTAATGATATCGAGAGAAAAAAATAAAATCATCATTTTGACATCAAAAAAGTAGAAGTGGGGCTGGAGTTGTGGCTTAGTGGTAAAGCACTCACTTTAAAGCATTAGCACATGCAAGGCACTGGGTTCGATCAATCCTCAGCGCCACATAAAAATAAATAAATAAAATAAAGGTATTGTATTCAACTACATATATATGTGGAGTATCATGGTACTTTTAATCCCAACTGTACTTAGGAAGCTGAAGCAGGAGGATCATAAGTTCAAGGCCAGCTTTGGCAATTTAGTGAGACCTGTTTCAAAATAAAAAGAATTGGAGATGTAGCTCAGTAGTAGAGTGCCCCTGGGTTCAGTCATCAGTTACTGGGGGAAAAAACAAAGAAGAAGGTAATTACAAAGTAAAACAACTTGTCTTAAGAATAGCAAGAATAGCATCTTAAGAATAGCATTGTTAATAACATTGTGCTAGACATTCTGACAAACATTTAAAAGACAACTGAAAATTAAACTATTTTTTATAGCATCCCTGTTGTTATGCTCATTTTATGGAAGAAGAACCTTGAGGTTCAGTAATGTCAAGTAACCTGTCCAGAACGGGTGTCTGATTTATAGGCAGCCCAAGTGCTATGCTTTCCCTCTTTGCCCTTCCCCTTCCTTAACAGAATCCAGGCACTTCAATCCTATGGGTCAATTAACATCTTAAAATGATTTGCAGTAGCATATTTTTGGTAAAGTAGGTCTTCATCTGATATAGTGCAACACAAGTGAAAGCTCAAATAACTTGGTTTTTGGCATTTACATTTTACAAACTTAGAATTAAAAAAAATATTCCTTCACATTGTTCTTTTGTTATTATTGTTAATCCACATAAGCCTGGTCATACTTCGAAAAATTTCAGTGTCAGTGTCAAGTTACGTAGTCTTTTCTAGGAATTTTAAGACATACTTTGAGATTTTTGTGGTTTAAAAAAACTAACTTTAGATTATAGTGATATTTTTGAGACTCTAATGAGGCAGTTTTTAAACACTGCAAACTAAAGGACATGTATTGGTATTTGGAAACTTGTCAGTTTTTAGAATAGGTTAAGACATGATAAACTCTTTGAGTTAAGTTGATATGATACTGAATCCTAGGAACATGGGACTGGGCTCACAGGAAATGAGACAAGATCAAAAGGTAAGGTAGATGATATTGAGAGTGAAAATGGAAGTTGGGGCTGGGGTTGTGGCTCAGTGATAGTGCGCTTGCCTAGCATATGTGAGGCACTGGGTTCGATTCTCGGCACTACATACAAATAAATAAAATAAGGTCCATCAACAACTAAAAAATATTTAAAAAAAAAAAGAAAGAAAATGGAAGCATGTAATCAGTGGTGATTTTTTAGGGGAAAAAGGTGAATTTCTTGGTAATTGATGAAATAGAGGAGAAGGAATCCTTTGTTCCCAGATTAATTGATCTAAAAAATATTTGAGTCTCATTCATAATCTGACTGCCGCATTTACTGTATGAAGACTATATGGACTACTAAGTATAAATAGTATTGGTGCTGGATAAGATGCTACATACATTTACAGAGAGAATTTGGGAGCAAGTGCTGTGAACACATTGAGTTCTGTGCCATACATGTGGGTACAATCTATCGTATATGATTTTTATGTGGTTCTCATGAAATTTTTAAATTTAGGGTCATAGATATTATTCTTTCATTAGAAAAAAGGTATTCGCAGATGTTTGAAAAGAAATTTTTCCTCCAAATAGTGGCAAATATGGCATTTTTATTATAAAGCATTGTGATGGAACTTTTGGCTTTTAAATAATTTATATGAAGTCTTACATGATGCTATTTCTGGAAAAAATTCTGAATCTTATCTGCATAAACTTTAGTATTCCTTACAGGCTTGTTGGTTCTACTTATGTCAATGTTCAAACCAATAGGATTTAAACAAAACTTAGCTATGTGCTAGGATAATGAATTTATTTTATAGCAACAGTTTTCAAACTTCAGAGTGAGTCATAATTACATGGAGGACATTTTTAAATGTAGAAGGCTGGGTACCAGCCCTGAACTTTCTGATGAAGTAAGTCTGGTATGGTGTTGAAACTTTGCATCTTTGAGAAGGTGGCACTTACGTTAAGATTTACTGTAATAATGAATCCAGAATAGTAGTGTATGTCTATGATACGAGCAATTTGGAAGGCTGAGGCAGGAGGGTCACAGTTCAAGGGCAGCCTCAACAATTTAATAAGTTGGGAAGAGCCTTTCTCAAAACAAAAAATAAAAAGGGCTGTGGACTTAGCTCAGTGGTAAAGCACTCCTGGGTTCAATCCCAAATACCAAAAAATAAACGAACTACTGTAATAATGAATAGGATTATTATATATCAATAAATGAATTAAATAATAAATTAATAAAACTTTTAATGCCTAAGAAATGAGTTTAATTTTCATAAACAGCTCAAATTCAGATCTTAGATGTAATAAATATAAAGTTTTTTCATAATCTTTCCTAAAATTTATTTTATAGTTATTTGTTTGTAAATATTGAACAAATTAGAAAAACAATTTAAAGCCATAAATATTGTTCTCTATTCATAACAAAAATTTGAGTATTTAGAGGTACCCTAATTAAAATGGGGATGCTTTCAGAGAAGTGCATTATAGGCTATTTCATCATTATTAAGGGAACGTCATAGTGTGTATACGTACACAGATCTACATGGTATGGGTTACTTACTATATACCTAGGATATATGGTTTAGCTCATTATCTTTAGCTACAAATATATGTAGCACATTACAGTACTGAATACTGCAGGCATTTGTAGCACAATGGTATTGTGTACCTGAACGTAGAAAAGATATACTTGTATAGGACACTTTCCCTGAATGGAGATTGTGACATGACCCCTAGCTGCCTAGCCACACAGCCAGCCCAATAATCTTTTCGAGAATTGGTGGTAGAGCTACAACCCTGGTGGATTGCTGTGCTGGTGAGAAGCACAGGTCCTGGCTCACAGGTCCTGAGACTGCCATGCTAGCTGGGGCAAGCTAGGGCATGCCCACCTGGCACCTCCTCTGGATCCCTGAGCCTGCACCATCTGGGATTACAGATGAGCTGTGAAAAAGTGGAAGTGGAACAGACTTGAATGGAAGTTCTGACTCAAGAGTTAACCAACAGCATTAATATTTTTCCAAAATTTAATTAGCATAAATTTGGACCAATAGCATTCACCCAAGTGCTCTATACTCTATAAACTACTAGACTAACACTTAGGTGGCAATCCCTGTCTTGTCTTCTTTGGTCCTGCAGGAGTTCTTTTTCTACATATACTTGAATAAATTCTATTATACTCACTCATCCTTGTCTGTGGATTTCATTCTTCAAATTCACAAGTTAAGAACCTAGAAAGAAGAAATTGATAGTGAGCTGCTGGGGTCTGTTTCAACACTGGAAGGCATAGCCTGTCATTAAGAGCTACAGCATGTATCTCAGATGCAGATACCTGCAGTTTCAGCAGACCCCACCTGCCAGTGGAAATAGCTTCTGCCTTCAGCTACAAATATGTATAGCACCATTACTATACTGAATACTACAGGCATTTGTAATACAATGGTATTTCTGTTCCTAAACATAGAAAAGATGTTTTGGCATTTATCCCAAATGGAGATTTCGGGTCTGAAGGTGCTCTGAATGAATCAGTGAGTAAAAAGTGAATGTAAAGGCCTAAGACATTATTGTACACTAATGTACCTTTGTGAACATGGTACATTTAGGGTCTGCCAAATATGTAAAAAAATAATAATAATTTTTTTCAATAATAAATTAACCTTAGATTATTATAACATTTCTTTATAAATTTTAGCTTTTTTAAAAAAAGCTTTTGATTGTATAGGCCCATTGTTTAGCTGTACAAAAATATCTTTCTTAATTTACTTATTTGATGGAATTTTTATATTTTTAAAAAGTTTTTCTTTTTATTTTACTTAATGTAAGGGTCAGGATCTTCAATTTCATTGTCTTCCACTTCCACATCTTGTCCCACTGAAAGGTCTTCATGGGTAGTAACATGGAACCTTCATCTCATGATAACAGTGCCTTCTTCTAGAATACTTTCTAAAAGACCTGCCTGTGGCTGTTTTACAGTTAACTTTTTGTTTTGTTTTTGTAAGTATAAAGAGTATACCCCTAAATGATGATAAAATTGTAATCTATGTAAATCAGTAAGTCATTTATTGTTACAAGTATTATCTACTGTATGTAATAGTATGTGATATACTTTTACATGACTGGAAGCACAGTAGGTTTGTTTACACCAGCATCACTACAATCATGAATAATGGATTGTGTTACAATGTCACTAGGTGATATTTTAGCTCCCTTATAATCTTATGAGATCATAAGCCTGTATGTGGTCCATTTCTTGACAGAAGAGTCATCATTATGTGGCGCATGATTGTATTTGAAATGATGTATTTCATTTATACTAATACTTTTTCTTGAAGTTAAAGTTGAAGTCAGGGAGCATACCTGTAATCTTAGCCACTCAAGAGGCTGAGGCAAGAGAATCTAAAGTTCCAGGCCAGTTAGGGCAGCTTAGTTAGATGCTGTCTTTAGATATAAAGAGTTGGAAATAAATAGCTTAATACTCACAGTGGGAAAAAAAAAAAAAAAAACTAGGAAAAAGACTCATAGAAATGTGGTTGATTTTGTTTCCCATTCTTCTCCCCTCCCATCAATGCCTATAGCTTTCTGAATTTCACATTCTAAACCTCTAGAGGATCAATTGTGACAATTGATGTAGTATATCAACCATATTAGTTTTAGTAATTTTTAAAAATCTTGTTTTTTAGCTAATGGGAATGACAACAAGAAATTTAAAGGAGATAGACCTCCCTGTTCACCTTCCCGTGTTCTCCATCTTCGCAAAATTCCATGTGATGTCACCGAAGCAGAGGTCATATCATTAGGTCTACCATTTGGCAAAGTAACTAATCTTTTGATGTTGAAAGGAAAAAGCCAGGTATGTAATATTTAAAGAGTAACACAGAATGATTATCTCTGGGTATATTACAGATAATTTTTCAACTTTTCTTATTTTCTAAATTTTATGATCATTAATTTTTAAAGTAGAAGGTTTTTTTGGGGGGGTTATACCAGGAATCAACAAATATTAATGCAAAAATAATAGTATTTATCACTTGTTGATTTATAAACATTTTCCTTCCTAACAAGAAATATTTTTGAATTTTACTCATAAGATGGTTTATGAAAACATCCTGTGATTACTAGAAGACCTTGATAGAGAGGATATAAATCACACCATATTTGACAAAGAACGGTGAAGTTTCCCAAAATCTAGATAGAAATGTATAGTATTGTCACAAGACAAAATTACAACGATTTTTAAGGTCTAAATTGACTTTTATGTGAGATGTTAGAATTAATCAATACTTAATTCTATAAAATAGTATGAGTGTTAAGCTGGACATGATAGAATGGTTAGCATTTTTAAGGTGGAAACAACACTTTCTTACTAAGTGGATTATTGTAAGAGTTAAAGCAGAGGGTAAACATGTTTGGGTAGAATGAGCTCATGCTAATGGGTTGCTATGAACCTTCTGTTAAAAACTTGTAATTTTGGAGGCTGGGGATATAGCTGAGTTGGTAGAGTGCTTGCCTTGCATGCACAAGGCCCTGGGTTTGATCCCTAACATCAAAAGAAAAAAAAAAGAAAAGAAAAAGAAACTTGTTATTTTGGAAATTTATCTACCTAATATGAGTTGACTCTTATATCTTCTGGGCCTTGTGTAGGAGGCTAGTACAAAACAATGACTTCCTGTAAACTCATTTAACAGTATGTATATTCAGTTGTAGAATTAATATGTAATTTATTTAATAATTTGAGGGAGATATAAGAGAGGCTTCATTTGATAAGTTAATAGGTTTTTTTTTTAATTAGTTATTTTAACTGATACACAATAATACAAAAATTGGCACTGAGAGTGTATGCAGCTCAGAGAGTGGCTTGCCTAGCATGTACAAAAGCTGTAGGTTTTGGTTCTCTGCCCTGCACTTAAAAAAATTCTATACACACACACACACACACACACACACACACTCATACATATTTATGGGGTACCATGTGATTTTTGGTACATGTATATGTTGTGTGTTGTTTAAATCAGATTAAGCATATTTCCTGATTGATCATTTCTTTATGGTGAAAACATTTAAAATCATTTCTTCTAGCTTTTTGAAATATACTGCACATTATCATTATCTGTAGTCACCCTACTGTTCAATATAGCACACCAGAACTTCTTATTTCTACTTACAATAACTTAATACCCACCCACTGATCAGCCTTTCCCCATATCTTCTTCCCCTACACTCTCCACCCTCTGTTAACCACTGTTCCACTCAGCTTGTGAGTTCAGTTTTTTATATTCCACAAGATCATTCAGTACTTGTTTTCTGTGCCTGGTGTATTTCATTTAACATAATGATTTCTAGTTCCATCTGTGTTGTCATGAATGGCAGAATTTCATTCTTTTTTATGGCTAGATGGTATTCCATTATGTATGTTTCACATTTTCTTTATACATCCATCCTTTGATGGATGCTTTGGTTATTTCTATTTCTTGACTATTGTGAATAGTGCTGCAATAAACATGGAAGTGCAGATGTCTTTGACATATGGGTTTCCTTTCCTTTGGATATATACTCGGTAGTGGGATTGCTAGATCATATGATAGTTCTGTTTTAATTTTTAAAGTAATCTCTATACTGATTTCCATAATGAGTGTGCTAATTTACATTCCAACCAACAAGTGTACAGGCATTCTCTTTTCTCCACATTCTTGCCAGCGCTTGTTATTTTTTGATAATGGAGTGAGGTAGCCTAGCCTCTCATTTTTTTTTTCAGCTTGCATTTCTTTGATGTTGAACTTTTTTTTTAATATTTTATTTTTTTTTAGTTGTGGTTGGACACAATATCTTTTATTTTTTTATTTTTATGTGGTACTGAGGCTTGAACCCAGGGCCCTGCACGTGCTAGGTGAGCACTGTACCACTGAGCCACAACCCCAGCCCTGATGTTGAACATTTTTAAGATGCCTTTGGGTATTTGTATGTCTCCTTCTGAGATATATCTGTTTAGGTCTATTGTCAATTACTTAATTTTTTTCTTTTTTGCTGTTGCGTTTTTGGAGTTCCTTATATATTATAGATATTGTTGATAATTTCCTTTGCTTTGCAGATGCTTTTTAAAAACTTGATCTAATCTCATTTGTATGATTTTTGCTTTTTTGGATTATAACCCAAAATTTTTTGCCTGTTTCAATGTCCTGAAAAAAATAAGTTTTCTGAAAATAACTAAGAAAATTTGATTCTCTCATGACCATAACAAAAATATAATACTTGTTATATTGATTTTAATGATTGTGTGCTTTCTTGTTCCAAAATGAGACCTCACTGGGATGTATTCTTCAGTTCTTTCCACTTTTTTGATTATCCTGAAAATCTTTAGTGCTAAGCATTATTATAGAAAGGAGGCATGGAATCTAGACTATAAAATTTATAGTACATTGTGATATGTCACTGTTGCTTCTTTTTGTAAATAAAAGTTTTAGAAGCATGACTACACTTATAAATAAATAGAGCCAGCTGCTGTGTTGAACACCTATAATCCCAGCGGCTCAGGAAGCTGAAGCAGAAGGATTGTGAGTTGAAAGCCAGCCTCAGCAACTTGGTGAGGCCCTAAGCAATTGAGCAAGACCCTGTATCTAAGTAAAATACATAAAGGGCTGGGGATGAGGCTCAGTAGTTAAGTGTCCCTGGGTTTAATTCCTGGTACCTAAAAAATAAATAGTCAAGTGTGGGTATGAAAGTGATTGGATCATGTCTGATTCAGTCCTCCTCTAGTAAACTGCTTGATTAATATCCCCACTTAATTCAGATGAGGTTACTAAGATTCAGAGAGGTTATAAACATGCTGTCGTATGTATTCTTCATGTGTGCACATTTCTTACATCTATTGGAGACTAGTACATGGGGGCTTAAATCTTTATTATTTAACAAGAGTTAAACAAGAGTTGCTACTGCTGGGAATCCTGTGGTCTGTGTGATTTGAAAAAAGCAATCATGATCATCTCTAATATTGGTTTTGATAGGCAGTAGGCAAGGTCACAATTGTTTTTTCTTGTCTTTACTGTTTATTCTGGGGTTTATCTGTAAGCTAACTGTACCTGTTCATTACCTTTTTCTTAAATCATAAATCCTGTTTAGAAAATACCTATTTAGTAATACACTTCATGATTATGGGCTATAACCTTTCCCAGAGCATTTGGAATGATGGGGGAAGAGAGGGGCTATTTTAAGTCCTCCGGGCAATGACTTTTAGTTGTCTCTCCACCCCACATGATGAAGACTAAATTCTTTGACTAGATACTTTGGAAAATCTTAAATGATTACTGGATTTCATGTGAGAAATTTATTTTTACATATAAAAGTCTAGATTCTGTATACTCTAGGGGGGGAGAAAAAAACCCTTCCTATGACAAGACTCACATATTCCAAAGACATTGTTAAACTTTTTCTTTATGTGACTGATGTTAGAAATTGAACTATTTCTTAACACTCAGCAAAGAGTTAGTAAAAATATACTTTCTTCCCTTATGGAGAATATTATTGGAATAATGTTTACAAATTCTTTATTGAATGGCGATTAAAAACCAGGTAGAAACTATTGCCATAGCTTTTTTACTTTTTAAAAAGTTTTTTAAAAGTTTATTTATTCTAATAAGTTATATGAGATGGCAGAGTGCAGTTCAATTCATGTTTCACAAATAGAACACAACTTTTCATGTCTCTGGTTGAATACAAAGTAGAGTCACACCATATGTGTTTACATACATGTACTTAGGGTAATGATGTCCATCTCATTCCACCATCTTTCCCACCCCTTTGCTCCCCTTCCCTTCTCTATCCTTTGACCTATCTAAAGTTCGTCTATTCCTCCCATGCTCTCTCCTCATCCCCATTATGAATCGGCATCCTTATATCAGAGAAGACATTTGGCATTTTGGTTTTTTGGGATTGGCTTACTTCACTTAGCTTTATATTCTCCAACTCTATTTTCCTGCAAATGCTATGATTTTATTCTCTTTTATTTCTGAGTAATATTCCATTGTATATATATATCACATTTTCTTTATCCATTCATCTACTGAAGGGTACCTAGGTTGGATCCACAATTTAGCTATTGTGAATTGTGCTGCAATAAACATCGATGTGGCTGTGTCCCAGTAGTATGCTGCTTTTAAGTTCTTTTGTTATAAATCCGGGAGTGAGATAGATGGGTCAAAAGGTGGTTCCATTCCACGTTTTCAAAGGAATCTCCATACTGCTTTCCATATTGGCTGTACCATTTTGCAGTCCCAACAGCAGTGTATGAGTGTGCCCTTTTCCCCACATCCTCGCTAACACTTACTGTTATTTGTATTCTTAATAGGTGCCATTCTGACTGGAGTGAGATAAAATATTAGTTTTGATTTGCATTTATCTAATTGCTAGAGATGTTGAAGACTTTTTCATATATTTGTTGATTGGTTGTATATCACTTTCTGAGAAGTATCTGTTCAGTTCCTTGGCCCATTTATTGATTGGATTATTTGTTTTTTTTGGTGTTAAGATTTTTGAGTTCTTTATATATACTAGAGATTAGTGCTCTATCTGATGTATGTGTGGTAAAAATTTGCTCCCAAGCTGTAGGCTCTCTGTTCACCTCACTGATTTTTTTTTTTTTTTTGCTGAGAAGAAGCTTTTGAGTTTGAATCCCAGCTTTTTTTTTTTTCCTTGCCTTAATCATTTTTATACTCCTGTCTTATAAATATTAGAAAAAGTCTATTACCGATACTTTAAAGAATATCATGGACGTTTATATCTTTTAGATGTATAATGACTTGAAGACACTTTTATCTCTTTAAAGATAGTGGAATTTTATGTTTATTGTGAATTGATTTCTTGACTTGTGATATTTGATTCACCCTCATTGGCTAACATAACTACCTCTTGGGAAATTATTGTTAATTTGAAACATCTAATTGGTTTAGTTGTGACATTTGGTTGATACCATTATACATCGTATTTAACATTTATATAGTTGATATTCCTTTACTGGACTTCATATGAAAACATTTGACAGTTAAGATAACTATAAACAAAGGCGTAGTTGGATTTATAGATATTTGCCATTTTCTGTGTTCATTAAATTTTATTGTTAATAAATGTATATTTTATAAATTTTAAGTGTTTTATACATAAGTCGAAGTGGTTGCTGTGTGCTTGCTAATTAAATGTTTTATAGTGAAAAAATAGTTGGGTTATCTTACTAGAGGTTTGTGTTGATTTTGATCAGTAGTAATTTATTATGATGCCACACAAGAAATATATGTAACATACAGATGTGTAGATATAGTGTTTATGTGTGTGCATGTGTATAAGCATATAATATAAATATATAAAATAGGGAAAAGAACTCTGAGTACTTACATGTAACTTTTGCTTCAAAGTGTAACATGGGTGTTGATTGAGAACATATTTGTAAAGTAAATACAATTTAATTCTGGGCACCACCACTTGAAAAAGATGCTTTCCAATATTTCTTTCCTGTAAAATCTCAGACTGATCACTTAACAGGAATTCTACCTAAAATGTGAGGAGACTTAAAGATCATATTGGGCAGTACTTCATATTTTAGATGAGGAAATCTAAGATTCAGAGGTGTTAATGACCTCTAAGTTATCGAAATTGTAATAGCTAGAATAGGTTCCCTTTCTACCAAGTCTTGACAACTCTCATTCTTGCTATCAGATCAGATAAGTTGGTTTCTAGTTGGCAAAGTATGAAATAATAACTATTGAAAAATGGATGCTCTGTTTAATTTTATTTGTGCTGTTGTTTCACAACCACCACCAAAAGAAAAGGAAAGAAAAAAAAAAACATAAGAATTTAAATAGTTAGTACAATGCTCTCTCCTTCCTTTTTTCCTCTAAAGGACATTTGAGACTTAAAAAAAAAAAAATTCCTTATTGCCTCATGAAATTTCAATATCTTGATGTAGAATATAGCCCATTAGCCCCAAAGTTTTCACAGAAAACTATTAAATCACAGTCTCTGAAAACATCCATTTATAATGTTGATTTATATATTTGTTTTAACCTTTTTAATTGTTTTTAAATTTTAGAAGAAGCAAAAATAATAGGAAGATAAAACACATGAAATTATTTAATCAACTGACAGTTTCTCAAGTCCAAACCTTTCTCAAACCCAACTTTTCCAATATATTTCTACTTACCATCCATGATATACTTTGAAACAAAAGATTTTTCATCTTTTTGAGGAAATATTATTTCTGTTGAGAATGCATGAGTTTTAGAGTGAGTTAGAATGATAAATAGTGAACTGTCTTATTAAAAAAGATGAGCTTTCCCCCTTACCTTCTTATGCTTGTTGCAGGCTTTCTTAGAAATGGCTTCTGAGGAAGCTGCAGTTACTATGGTGAATTATTACACTCCTGTTACTCCTCAACTTCGAAGCCAGCCAGTTTATATTCAGTATTCCAATCACAGAGAACTTAAGACTGACAATCTGCCTAATCAAGCTGTAAGTATTTAAGACATCTTTAAAAATAGGAGTAAAAATATATGATATCATAACTTAAAATTAATTTTCTATAGTTATGAACCTCTTAACATTTCAAATCTGAAAGGAACTTTAGAAAGTCATTCATTTTAATTCCTCCTTTTTACAGAATTTATAGCAAAGGATTTGAGAAGTTGAGTGTGATGCTTATATTGTAATGTTGAGTAACTTATATAAGATGTTAATGAGAATGTGTTTAGAATTAAGTGATTTTTGACTCCTTAAGATGAATGTGGAATGTAGTCTATCAATGTTTATTACCTTACTTTTCTATTTTTATTTTAATGTACTTCATATTGAGTCTTTTGTGTCCTTCCAGGTTAATTTTTAAATAGTTAAAAATAGTAATTTGAAGTTACTTAAAGATAGGAGGGGCTGGGGATGTGGCTCAAGCGGTAGCACGATCGCCTGGCATGCGTGCGGCCCGGGTTCGATCCTCAGCACCACATACGAACAAAGATGTTGTGTCTGCGGAAAACTAATAAATAAATAAATAAATATTTTAAAAAAAAAAAGATAGGAAAATTTTATCTACAAAGCAAGTAGTTTTTAAGTGGGTTTTTATTATGTAAAGAGCATATTTGGCCTCTATATTCTTGCTCTATACAAAGAACTTAAAAGTCTTTGATTCTGTGTTGAAAGGCATTACAATGCAAACTGTATTTAAATTTATTGAGTTTTAGTTTTCCACATTGATCACAATGGGCATTTCCTACACATAATCCTTGTTTTAAGACATAGGGCATATAATATAAACTAGAATAAGCGCAGTATTTGATTTTTCTTTCTTTCTTTTTGTACTGGGAATTGAACCTAGTGGTGCTTTACCACTGAGCTACATCCTACGTCCTTTTACTTTGAGACAGGTTTCCCCAAGTTTCTGAGGCTGATCTTGAACTTGAGATCCTCCTGGCTCAGCCTCTGGAGTACCTGGGATTACAGATGGATTCCACCGCATCTGGCAGCATTTGATATTTTAAAATAGAATAGATTTCATTTAATTTATTTTACCCCCCACACGTATGATGGGGTTTGAACCTGGGGCCTTGCCTTTGCATGATCTTTATCACTGAGCTGTATCCCCAGGGCTTAGAATTGATTTTGTAAAATGAAAAAATTGTCTTTATAAATGACAGTTACAATATGTATACATGGTAAAACACTCAATCTAGAAAAGTAAAAGAAAAAAAAATCATCTAGTTGCCCAGAGATAACTAATAAGTAGTAGACCTAATATTTTAGTATGTGCCCTTCCATTTTCTGGTATCTGTGTTATCTATTTTATACAAATGGAATTCTGATGTTTAGAAACCTTTTATTTTTTTTCTCTATATGTTATGCACATGGTTTCATAACCACAAATCAGAGGTACTTCATAAGTTTTCAATGATTGCCTATTATTCCTCTATAGAGGAAAGCCATCGTATATCCAATTACTTTTTCTTAGACATTGAAGTTGTTTCCTATTTAATGCGTTTACAAATAGTACTCCAAAAACATATTTTAGCACACTTCCAACATTATATTATTAGATTATATTTTATATTTCAATATGTTGAATGAATGCTTGCTGTAAAAGATTATATGCCAATTTAGGGTGCTCTTGATAATGTATAAGCAAGTGGTTTTCCTGCTTATCTTTGTTAATATGATAGGTGAGAAATTATAACTTATTGTTTTATTTTTATTTGATCATTTTTAAAAATATTTTTTTAGTTGCAGATGGACACAATACTTTTATTCTATTTATTTATTTATTTTTATATGGTGCTGAGGATCGAACCCAGTGCCCCATACGTGCGAGGAAATCACTCTCCCGCTGAGCCACAATCCCAGCTCTAATCATTTTTTTAAAAAAAAATTTTTAAATTTGTTTTAATTAGTTATACATGATAGTACAATGATCTTGACATATCATACATTTGAATCAGATAGGGTATAATTTCTCATTTTTCTGAGTGTACAGGTTGCAGAATCACATTGGTCATGCAGCCACGTATATACATACAGAGATAATAATGACTATTTTATTCTGCTGTCCTTCCTTTCCCCCCTTCCTCTCCCCTCCCCTCCCATCACTCCTGATCATTTTAAATATATTTATTTATAGTGATTTCTATTTATGCCATTTCCTCCCATTTAAAATTTGTTTTTAAATATCGGGCTGGGATTGTGGCTCCATGGTAGAGTGCTTGCCTAACATGTATGAGGCACTGGGTTTGATCTCAGTACCACATATAAATAAATAAATATCCATCAATGACTAATAAAAAATATTAAGAAAATATATATATCTAATGCCAAATTATTCAGCCATTTTTAAATGTGTACTTTAGTGGCATTAAGCACGTTCACATTATTGGATAACCCACCACCACCACTGATCTTTAGAACATATTCATCATCTAAAACTGAAATTTCCTATCCATTAAATAATAACTTCCCACTTATTCTTCCCATCAGCCTCTGTCTACGATTCTACTTTCTGTTCCTATAAATGTTTTTGCTTATGTGTTTTAAAAATATTTTTTATATGTATAGTAAAAACTCTTGTTAAGATTGTCATGATGCAGTCTGACTTTGGTACCATGCTCAGAAAAACCTAGCACACCAAGATTTAAACAAACAAGCAATATGCTAATATTTTCATGTTTTGGTTCCTTTTATTTTGATGTTTAAATCTTTGTTCTATTAGGAAGTTTTTTGATGTGGGGAATAAGGGCAACATTGTTGTTGTTGTTGTTATTGTTTTTAACTTTTTATAGTTGTAGATGGACAGAATGCCTTTATTTTATTGCTTATTTTTATGTGGTGCTGAGGATTGAACCCAGTGCCTCATGCATGCTAGGCAAGCACTCTGCCACTGAGCTACAGTCCCAGCCCCAAACATTGTTATTTTAATAACCTACTTACTATTCTCTGATGTGAAACTTATTCTTTATCATATTCTAGTTTTTCTATCGATATGCTATGCATATACATACAAACAGACAGACACCCTCATTAGACATGTCTGCATTCTGCTTGCATGGCTTGGTCTATCCTCGTGTGTGCTGCTCACATGGCATGTACTCCATCTCTAACTGGACTAGCTTCCATTCTATTCCATTCCTGCTTCAGCGCATACTATAACTTAGTATATTATAGGATAATATACCCTCTCCAGAAATTAACATCAGTATTTTTGATTTCTCCAGATATATCACAGAATTATTTTGGTAATACATGCTCCTTAAAAAACACAATTAGAATAGGATAGATTTTGTAGATTAATTTGGGAATAACTAACACATTTCTATTTCTCTGTGATCCTTTAGAGGAAGAAGTTACATTGTTTTCTTTTACGTCTTTCAGTAAAGTTTTTTAAGTTTTCCTTTATATAAATCTTACAGTTTTCCCATTAGTGTGTTTCTGAATATGTTATAAATTATAAAGTATAAATTCAAGTATAAATCTTGAAGAAGAAAAAAATAGTTTAGTAAAACTTTTTAATGATTAAATTATTCCAATGGGAAACAGAAATACCAGTTGCTTGGCAACCAGAGCCACCCAAATGACCTACTTTATTCTTAGATAGCCTGGATTTCTTCCTGATACCCTTTCCATTTTATTACTTTTGTGCAATCTTTGTGCATTAATGTTGGATAAAATGTAATTGAGATTTCTTTTATTCAAAGTCCAACACCAAACTGAAGTCAAAGTAGATGGTACCTTTTTATATATATAAAATGTACCATATTTTATTATGACAGTCCCAGGAAGTTAATAGATTAGTGTTTCTTTCATTATTGTTCTTTGAACTGCACATATCTGCACGTGACTTCTTTTCCAGCTCATGGACATAACTTGTTAGTCAGGTGAATATCAAATACTTTGGGGTCCCTTATTTAAAAGACATTTTAAAAATTTTTTAAAATATTCAGATCATATCCTGAAGCATAACATTTGAGAGGTGATTATGTTAATGGCAGTCGTTTATATATTTTTTTTCAATCACATGGGTAGAAGTATAAATCTTCAGAGATGACTTTAGGAAAATTTGCCCTTAAAATGTTCCCTCAAAAATTATTAAACCAAACACTTGACTGTGTACATTTACTATATGTTAATTTCATCTTCTTTTTTAAAAAAAAATATTTATTTTTTAGTTTTAGGTGGACACAATATCTTTATTTTATTTTTACGTGGTGTGAGGATCGAACCCAGCACCCCACACATGCCAGGCAGGCGCGCTACTGCTTGAGCCACATCCCCAGCCCTAATTTTATCTTCTTGATTCTAGAACTGTGCTTTTCACATTATCTAGGCTTCTTTATAGTTTATGTGAAATATATGTCCCTGTTCTGACAATAAAATCTTTGTTGCTTTTCCAATTTTACTGTTTCCTTTTTAATAGTATAATTGTTCCAGAGAATTCGTTTCCCAGATATTTAAAAATCATTTCCCATTAGCTTGGGGTAGTAATCTTAAGAGCTTGGGAGGCAGAGGCAGGACGATTACAAGTTCCAGGTCTGTAGAGGCAACTTAGTGAAACTCTGTCTCAAAATAAAATTTAAACAGGGCTGGGAATGTATCTCAATGGCAGAGTGCTTTCCTATCATGTGGGGCTCTGAGTTCAATTGTCAGTACTGAAAAGAAAAAAGTAATCATTTTAATCTAAGAGGAATAGGGACAGTTATTATACTTAAAACCTCCCTAGGATGCTGTCTTTTCCCAGAGATCCTCTAGAACTGTGATGTCCAACATGGCAACCAGTAGTAGCTATATGTGACTAAATTTAAAAATTCAGTTTCTGAGTTGTAATAGCTACATTTCAGATGCTCACTAGCCTCTTGTGACTAGTTGCTATCATAGGATAGCATAGAAATCACATTTCTACAATCCCAGGAGTCTGTTGGATAGCACTGTTTTTATGTCTTCCAAGCCTCTGCTCAACTTTTTTCTTTTGCAGTGTTGGGGATTGAACCCAGGACCTTGTGCATGCTAGGCAAGCACTCTGCATAACTTTTCGAGTGTGTGGAATAGAGTTATAACAACTAATTTCATTGCTTTGACTTCCTAATTCTAACCCCTGTGTCAGTTCTGGGTCTTTTAATTGATTGATTCATTTCCCTCTGCCATTGTGTGTCAGTCATCTTTTTGTCACTTTACCAAATACCTGACCAGAACAACTGAGAGAAGGAAAAGTTCGTATTTTGACTTATGGTTTCAGAGATTTGGTCCTTGGTTGATCACTCCATTGTTCTGGGTTAGAGGTAAGTCAGAACATCTTGGCAGAAGGATGTGGTGGTAGGAAGCTGCTCGGCTCATGTCAGCCAGGAAGAAGAGAGAGGTTAGGGCACAGAGGACAAAATATAAACTCAAAAGGCATGTCCTCAGTGACCTGTTTCCTCCAGCCACACCCTAGTTGCCCACAGTTAACCTAGTATGTTAGTCCTTCTAAATTATTAATCTGTCAAATAGATTAACCCACTGATTAGTTTTCAGCTTTCATAATTGAATCATTTTACCTCTGAACATTCCTGCGTTGTCTCACACATCGGCATTTGGAGGGCACCTCATATATAAACCATAAAGACATCACCAACTGTGGATCCAACATGGAAGTCTGAATCAGTTTTCAATTGTTAAAAGCAGTACCACCCTTGCTTTTCAATAAAATCTTACTGGGGAGAACAGTGTAAAATAGATGAGATAAACTGCCATGTTTGAATTGAAGTGAGATTGAGGTGGCCAATATCCCATTACAATTAATTGTCTGCCTAAAAGCATGATTTTAAGAATTAATGATACAAAATATTCAAATAATTATTCATACCTTCTCAAAGATGCTGCTGCTTTGGAAACTGAACATTTAGCAGTTTGTGTATCATTTGATACCTAAAAATCTGTGTGTGGTATAAAAAATGTTTGTATGCAAGTAATTTCAAAAGGGATAGTGCTCACTTCCACAGCATGTTTTTTAAAAGGGGAAAAAAGAATATATACAAGTATAAAAGTGAAATTTGTTTAAATGTTAAGCGTATAGAAAATGAAAGACTTCCGATTTTCAGACAGGTATTTATTACTTAAAGCAAAATGGTGAAAACTCAAATATCTCACATGGTATAATAAATAGTAAACAGTAACTAAAAATTAGAATCATGAAAAGAAAACAAGAAATATCATGTCCTTGACATTGTAGAAAATTACATGCAGTTTAATTTCTAGAATGTCCCTCAGTTTGAATTTATGATTTACATACAAAAAAGTATCGTGATGTTTAAAATTGCAACTGTGATATGTAAAAATTAAAGTGACATTAAAGTGGTAGAATTTTTTATTTTATCATTCAGATATCATCACCTTAAGAAATGATAAGTATGGAGCAAAAGATTCATTGAAAGCATTCATTTAATTTTAGTAATCATTAACCATGCTTTTTTCCTTTAATTTTCCCTCCTTTGTCCTACTTTTTTTGGTGGGAGGGTACTGAGGATTGAACTTGGGGCCCTTGACCACTGAGTCACATCACCAGCCCCATTGTATGTATGTATGTATGTATGTATGTATGTATGTGTATATGTAGGGTGTTTTTTTTTTGTTGTTGTTTGTATTATATTTAGAGACAGGATTTCACTCAGTTGCTTAGTGCCTTGCTTTTGTTGAGGCTGGCTTTGAACTTTCGATCCTCCTGCCCTCAGCCTCCTGAGCAGCTGGGATTATAGGCACCACCGCATCCAGCCTACTGCATTTTTTGAATAATTTAATAAATTAAATTTTGAAGGAGTCAAATTTTAAAAAGTTTTATTTTAAAAATTAAAAAAGTCAAATTTAAAAAAGGAGTTTCAGGGCTAGGGTTGTGGCTCAGTGGTAGAGCGCTCGCCTAGCATGCGCGAGGCACTAGCTTCAATCCTCAGCACCACATAAATGTAAAATAAAGATATTGTGTCCTCCTAAAGCTAAAAAATAAACATTAAAAAAAATAAAAAAGGACTTTCATGCCCTTGATACTGTTGAAAATTATAGGCAATTTATTTTCTAGAATGTCCCTCAATTTGAGTTTGTCTGATGTTTCTTCATGTTTCGATTCAGGGTAAGTATCTTTTATAGGTACGCCACAGAAGTAATACTCTTTTCTTCTTATTGTGTAATTTCAGGTAGCATACATTTTCAATTTGTTCCTTTACTGATCGTGTGCTCCTCTGTCTCTTCATTAGGCTGGTATTTGACAGGCTTCTCTGCCGTCAAGTTATTATAGTTGCCCTTTAGTACTCAGGGGAATTGTTTCCAGGACCCCTCCCAATACCAGAATTCAAGGATGTTCAAGTTATTTACTTCCACATTCTTGAAATCACCTAGAGATTGCTGTATCTTTTACAGTATAAGTGCTATGTAAATAGTTGTAACATTGTACTGTTCAAGGAATAATGACAAGGAAAGCCTGTTTATGTTCAATACAGATGCAGGTTTTTTCTGAGTATTTTTCAATTCATAGTTGGACACAGAACCCACAGACACAGAAGACCAACTGTACTTAAAAAGAGGGAGGAATAGGGTTGGAGATGTAGCTCAGTAGTAGAGCACCTGCCTAACATGTACAAGGTCCTGGATTCCATTCTCAACACTGAAAAAAAAAAGGGCGGGGGGAATAGGACTTTATGGGCAGGTTTTTTTTATTTTTAATATTTTTTGTTGTTGTAGATGGATACAATACCTTTTTATTTATTTATTTTTATGTGGTGCTGAGTTTTGAACCCACTGCCTCACACATGCCAGGCAAGTGCTCTACCACTGAGCCACAACCCCAACCCCTATGGGCAGGTATTTTAAGACATTGTAAACATACTGTTCATTACTCAATTTTTACCATGAACTTCAGAGTTCCTGTTTTGTTTCATGGATTATTTTTTGTATAATTATTACTATTTTAATCCACAAAATGTCTCACATTTGATCAGTAGGAACCCCCCTTCATGTTGGCCTCTATATCCTTTTGATAAATCTCTACCATTCTTTCAATATTTCTTATATTCTGGCAAAATCAACAAGAAAAACACCATAAAAACAAAAACATTTCACATTTATCTTGTGCTTTTCCTGCCCCAGCTCTGGAATTAGCAGCTATTTTTTAGATTCCCTTGTTTCTTTTTAATGGAGAATGATTTTTAGCAACTTGCCGGGCTGTCCTTCCATTGAATGACTTTTTTTTTAAATATATATATATTTTAGTTTTAGGTGGATACAATATCTTTATTTTATTTTTATGTGGTGCTGAGAATCGAACCCAGTGCCTCATGCATGCTAGGTGAATGCACTACCGCTTGAGCCACATCCCCAGCCCTGAATGACTTTTTTAGCCTCTTCAGGCTCTTGACTTCATACCAGCTCACCCACTTCCCTGGACCTCCTCTTTACCTGCTTAGGCTGTCTTCATATCTTGACTACCTATACCATATGGATCCCTCTCAACTCTCCTTGGGCTCTGATGGTCTTGGCCAGGTACCCCTTCCTCTGTATGCCTTCTTTACTCTTCTTATGTTTCTCAGGTTCTGATCTTCAACACTGAACCATTCCCCACACAGATCCTTCCTTACTTTACCTTTGGGCTAAGATTCCCCTTACCAGGCCACTCTGCCATATGGATGCTTTCCTCACCTTTCTTAGGCTCTGATGCTTCATGTTAGGATGCCTACCTATATGAATGGCCTCTTTTCCCCACTCTGGGCCACCACACCCCTTTTTCTCCTTGTTTACACTTATTTTATGCCACCCAGATGCTTGAATTATTTGAGAATAGAAAGGAATAGAGTGAAGAAGAGGGACTTGAGTGATTATTACATGATCTTTGCTCTTTTCTTCCTCATTGTCTTTTAAAAATTAGGAAATACAAATTGTATCAAGTAAACTTAAGCAATATTAAGTACTGTATCAATGTGATAAGATAGGTCTTTGTTGGATTTTTGACCGATTCAGAACTTAGGCTATATGCATCTAGATAAAGTGGGGGGTGATTTAACTATCTTACTTCATATTGTTTTCTATCAGCTGGCTTTTAAGATTCATTTAAATGCTTTTATATAATAAAAAGCCTGATTTTGGATTGTTCTCTAGAGAGCCCAAGCTGCATTGCAGGCTGTCAGTGCTGTCCAGTCAGGAAACCTGGCCCTTCCTGGAGCTCCTTCCAATGAAGGCACAGTCCTACCTGGACAGAGCCCTGTGCTCCGAATAATAATTGAAAACCTCTTTTATCCCGTTACTCTGGAAGTTCTTCATCAGGTAAGAAGGAGTATTCTTACAGAAAACATACTCAAATGTGATGTCTGAAACGTTTGATATTCATTAACTCTGTGTTCTTCAGATTGTTATTTTGGGTTGATATTTTTGTTTCAGTAATGAGAAAAATCATCCTATTTCATAAAAGAAGTTTGATCAAGCTGGGTACCACAGTAGTACACTTGGGAGGCTGAGGCAGGAAGATATCAAGTTCAAAGCCAACCTCAGTAACTTAGGGAGATCCTATCTCAAAATAAAAAGGTCCTGGGGAATGTAGCTCAATGATTAAGTGTCTCTGGATTTAAAACCCAGTACCAAAAAAAGAAGAAAAGAAAAAGAGGTTATTTTAACTAGAGACAATTTTTTATAGCCTCCTGTTTCTAACTTGAATACTTGATTTTTAAAAGGTGGGTAAGGGGCTGAATGCAGTGGTGCACACCTGTAATCCCAGTAACTCTAAAGGCTGGACAGGAAGATCATGAGTTCAAAGCCAGAGTCAGCAAAAGCAAGACGCTTAACAACTCAGTGAGACCCTGTCTCTAAATAAAATACAAAATAGGGCTAGGGATGTGGCTCAGTGGTTGAGTGTCCATGAGTTCAATCCCAAGTACCCCCCCAACCCTCAAGAAAAAAAGGTAGATAAGAGGGACTGGGACAGAGCTCAGTGATACAGCATGTGCTTAACATGATGCATGAAACCCTTGGTTCAGTCCCCAACACATAAACAAACAAAAAATAAAATCCCAACACTAAAATACAAATATTAGGCAAGAAATTCAGTTTTGTAAATAGGTACATGTGAAAATGAACAAAGCATAGAATCCTCTAGAAAGCCCAAGTAGTGGTTGTTCCTTAGAAAATAATGTCACTATAGAATACAACTAACTTATTTCTATTGAACTCTTCGTACATTTGAATACTCATTTAAAAAATTCTGAAGGGAGGCTAAGTAATAAATCTTCACATGTAATATGGATATATCATACTCATCATGTTAAATGCTGACTGATACCAAATGTAACCTTTATATATCCAGTTTGTCTTGATAAAAGGCATTCCACCAAATCATGACTAATAATATTTAGAATTTAGAACAGGAAGGTCACCTATGTACATAATTTTATAATGATTAAAACTGAAAGTCAGATACTTGGGTAATTAAAAATCCAGTTAAGCCAGGTACGGTGGCTCTTGCCTGTAATCCCAGCAGCTCCAGAGGCTGGGGGCAGGAGGATCTTAAGTTCAAAGCCAGCTTCAGCAAATTAAGCAATTCAGCGAGACACTGTCTCTAAATAAAATACAAAATAGGGCTGAGGATGTGGCTCAGTGATAGAGTTCAATGTTTGTTTTTTAATGTTTGTTATATCTTTAATATTCCATATATACATATCCTCAAAATGTAAGTTATTTGATAAATCTTTGTACACAGATGTTTGACATCTAGCTTCAGAATTTGAGTTTTTATCCCCTTTAGCTAACTATTGATTACATTTCATTATACTTATCAACCTATACATTAAAATACAAAGGTATTAAAACAAACTTTATGCTTATTTTTATTTAACCTTTTTTATATCTTTGGATTTGTACCATCAAATGAAGGGTTTTAGAGGGTATTGTGCATATGTGTTTTAAGAATTGAAATGCATATATATTCTGTTCTTACATTTTGCAAATAAGGAAAGGTGGAGTTGTGTATACTCTTCCATGGTCATTATACCAACTAGTGATAATGCTCAGTCATTTTTCCCAGTACATTTCCACGCTGTGCATGTAAATATTAAATATACCAGTTAATAGGCTTGCTGTGTTCCTTTTGGTAGTTTTCTGAATACCATTTTCAGAATAAATGCATTTGTGAAATATGTCCTAGAGTGGACAATAGCCATCATTGCTCCCTAGAGGGATTTAACAATTCCTTAAGTGATTGATTTCATGTTTTGGTGAATTTTATTTTTTTAATTTCTATCCCACAAAGTAGCATTGAACACACTATGCAATCCATCAGCTACTGTATGTGTTTGTATTTGCTACTAAGATTCTGCAGCTTGCTGACCTACACTATTTTTAACAGACATTTTTATATCTGTGACTCGAACAGTGCCAACATCCATCAGCGAGCCTAGTCACTATTATGTGCTCATGTCCTATCATTTCACTTATCATATCCCTGAAAGCAGTAAAACCCCAAATCAAGACCCTCAAAATCATGGGTCCTTCAGGTGAAGAGAACTAATTTTGAAAGTTCTCAATAGAAACTGTTGGATCATGACTCTTAGTCTTTTAATTGCAACAGTCCTTCATTTAACTCTTTTTCTATGGGCCACTGGAATAAAACCAACCCCTTACTAAAGCATTTATTAAGGCCTCCATGTACAAACACCTTTAAAAAATCTCTTTAATCTCTCTGTGCATCACTCTGCTTATTAAACACTGTGGCCTTTTTACCCCCTCTCTTTCCCCCCAGCTTAGTCCTTTCTTAGTTGCCTATTTCTTAAGCCTGGGAGACTCTTTTACCCATAGTCACTTGGCTATGAGTACATAATTCACTCTTCATCTCAGATGTTAACCCCCTTGAAGAGTCTTTTTCTAATTATGGTAACTAAGCCCTCTCCCCCAGCACTCTATTCTATGTTTAGTCAACCAAGAGATAGTATAGCATAATAATTAAGGATACAGGGTCTGGAGTTGTTTGGAATCCTGTCTATACCACTACAACCTTGGGTAAGCAATTTGCCCAACTTCTGTCTGTTTTCTTTTTGTTTGGTTTCAGGGATTGAACCCAGGGATGCTTAACACCTGAACCACATTCCTAGTTCTTTTTATATTTTATTTTGAGACAGGATCTCTTAAGTTGCTCACTAGGTTGCCAAGGCTGGCTTTGAACTAAAAAGTTCTCCTTCCTCAGCCTCCTGAGCCTCTGGGATACAGGTGTGTGCCACTGTGCCAGGCCTGTTTTATTATTTTTATAATGAAGATGAAATTGGTAGTTTTTATGCCTTCATTGTGAGGATTACATGAGTTAATATGCTTAAAGCAGGTAGAACAGTGCCTAGTACATATTAATTCCTCTAGAAACATTAATTATCAGATACTAAAGAATTGCAATGTAAGATACTGTTCCTTGCTCTTATGGGTAATAGTAATTTTGTAAATAATGGTGTGAAATGTGAACATCATAATGGGGAATATATAAAAGTAAGGAGTTGGTTTTATCTATTATAACTAAGCTAATTGTTTCAGTATTTTATTTGCTGAAAAGTTGGCTTTAGTTAAACTACTGTATAATGTCTGTAGAAGCTAGGGCTCTTCTTTTAGCTCATGGTAAGGGGACTGAGAAACTGAGATGGGAGGAGTGCTGTATTAGATGAGGGAAGTTAGGGCAAGTTTTTCTAGTATGACATTTAAGCAGAGCCTTTGAACAGAACCTTGAAGAATGTGAGGATCTAAGTTATATATATGTGGAGGAGTAGTGATCCAGTCAGAAAGAACAGCAAGTCCCTAAGATGGAAGTGTGCTTGATATGTTTAGTATCAGGCTGCTAGTGTAGAGAGACTAGGAAAGCTATAGCAATAGAATCAGGGAAGAGGGGTTGGGAGCCAAGCAGCGCAAAGTTTTTATACCATTTTACATTGAATAAAATGGGAAATGATTGGGAGATTTTAAATAGAGCAATGAGAGGTTATCATTTAATGTTTTAACAGAATCACTCATTGTTGTGTTAACCATAATCTGTCAAACAGAAGTTCTTGTCATTGTCCATGTTAGATGATGGTAACCTGGGTGAGGGTGTGGCACTGGAACTGGGTGTAATTTGAAGGATATTCTGATGGATTAATTAGATGTGGGTTATAAAGAGAAAGGGAGTAATCAAGAATGCCTCCCAGATTTGGATCTGAACCTCTGATAAAATGGAGCTACCCTAAACTGTGATAGATTAAGGAAGGAAAAAAAATGGTGCAGGGATTGGAAGTAGAGCAGGAATCAAAATTGGTTTTAGACATATTAAGTTTGAGGTATCTATTAGATTGACACATGAGAAATATTGAGACAGTTTGGAGATAAATCTGGATTCAGAGGAAGAATTCCAATCTAGAGTTTGATAATCATCAGTATATGTATAGGTATAAAGCCACTGGACTGGACAGCATTACCTGGATAGCATTTGTAGGTAGAGAGAAAATTTATCAGCTGATCCCTTATGTAACCTCTCAACCCTGCATACTAAAAAGTTTCTTGATGTACTAAAAAAGTAGCTCACAACAGTATTCTCATATAATCTATCACTTTCAGGCACTATATATAAGGAAATAATTTATGAATTTCAGATAGAGCTCTTTAAGAGAAAGGACTAATCTTTTTTTAATTTTTTAATATTTATTTTTTAGTTTTCAGTGGACACATCATCTTTTTATTTTTATGTGGTGCTGAGGATCAAACCCAGCGCCCCGCGCATGCCAGGCAAGCACGCTACCGCTTGAGCCACATCTCCAGCCCAGGACTAATCTTTTTAATTGTAATAAAGATATATAGCTTGAGAAAACAAGTTATCATGGTACTAAATAAAAGAATGAACATTAATGTAAAATAATATTTCCTAATTTTTCCTGTTTTGTTGATTACAAACACTATTATAAACAGATTATGACTCATGAGTTTAATATTAAAATAAAATATTCTTGTGTTGTATGTGGTGGTACACATCTATAATTCCAGCCTCTTAGGAAGCCAAGACAGAAGAATTTCAAATTCAAGACCAGCATGGGCAACTTAATAAGACCCTGTCTCAAAAATAAAAATAAAGAAAGGGCTGGAGATGTAGCTCAGAGCTTCAGGCTCTGGGTTCAGTCCTAGTATTGAAAAATATAAATAAACAAACAATAAAAGTTCTGATGTGAATATTCTTTTCACAAGTGAATACTAGTGAACGTTTTCAATTTCTGGCAAATTCTGCCTTTATAAAAATTACCCTGAGGGCTGGCTATATAGCTCGGTGGTAGAGC